TCCTCAATATATTTCATTAGCTTCATTAGACATGACTTGCCCTTTACAAATCCTTTTTGGCTCTCTCCAGTCAGATGAAACTTATATAAATGCCTTGGCACTATGCTTATAGAGGTTAATTTCCCAAAAGATGCTGGGACAACAATCCATAATGTCTTAGATCGACAATCCAACATTCTTAAAAATAAAGTAATAGTTGCACATTGCTAAATACAGAGACAATTCATGATAAGACTATTTTGGAAGGTTGTGACCATAGCATCTGCATTTTCCTCATCTACTCACTTTAAAATCCTGGGGTGGAAAACATCATGTCCTGACGGGCAGACAGTCTTCAGCATCTTCATTTCTGATAAAGTCTTGTTTTCCTGCTTCCATTTTGTTTAGACAGTTCCTGTCCTTGAGTCATTATAGTTTCAATGTCAGGTATCATTTTTCTCTACTTTGAAGATTAACTCTCAGTATTTATTTAACAAACTTATTTGCAAGAATAATGTTTTTTAACCATCCACATTACGCTTTTAGTTCTATTGGCCACTTTTCAAAAGCAACCAATAGCAGTGCTATTCCATAAGCCCTGATTATCAAATTAATTTTAATTTTCTCTTCAATTTTCAATTTCACCTGCCAAAAAAACTACTTCAGATTAATTCGCTTTTGATTTTTCTAGAACTAAGAAATCCACGTAGCAAAATAGCTGCATCTGCTAAATATCACCCAACAAAAGAGCAGTCAAGCCAGCTTAAATATCAAGTTTTGGTTGGGACTGTGATCCACTTTACATCAAGTCTGTGTATAACATGAAGGACTGACACAAGGCAACATTCATACACAGCTGCACAACTGCAGGTATCTCACACATGCTTCCGTTTACTTTGTTTTCAAAGTGTAGATTTTGTTTTAAATACAACAGACCCTTTAGCCAGCTGTATAGGAACTCCATTAGATTAGCAACTGGAAGTCTGTCATTAGTCACAGGTTAATTTGCCACTTGAGAATTTCAAAATATGTTTAATTCAAATCATCCAAATTAAAATAAGGAAATAAGTCTCAAAATAAGGAAATAATAGAAGCCCGAGTTTGTTTTATATAAAATCTTGAAATTTCTTAATTAACCAAACTTGTATTCACATTGTGCTTTGCACAACCTCAAGATGTCCCAAAGCACTTCATAGTTGATGAAATGCTTTTTGAGAGTGTAATCATCACTGTAATACAGGATAAACAGCAGTCAATCTGTACAGAGCAACAGGAAAAACATTAGCACAAACTGCCATTTACTAATGACCAAATTATTTTTTTAGTAATGCTAATTAAAAGATAAATATCAGCAAGTACAACATGGAGAACTCACTTTTTCTTCAAAATAATATTGTAGTATATTTTGCATTAACCTGAGGGGATATTTGAGCATTCAATTTAACCCCTCATTCAAAAGTTGGCATGCTTACTCACCTTCAGTATCCTGAGAAGCTTCAGCCTATTTCCACAACCTTCCAACTTAAAGTGCCGCCACTGAGCAATGATTCACATATTTAACACCTACATTGACATCCTTTGAATAAAATTCCAAATTCACTTAAAGCATCCTTGATTTCTGGTCACGGTCATAGAGTCATACAGCAACTCGTCCAACTCGTTTGCGCTGACCAGATATCCATTTCTGACCTAGTCCGGTTTGCCAGCATTTTGTCCATATCCCTCTGAAACCCTTCCTATTCATATACCCATCCAGGTGTCTTTTTAAAATGTTGTAATTTTACCCACCTCCCCGGCAGTTCGTTCCATACGTGCACCACACTCTGCGTGAGAAAGTTGCCCCTCAGGTCTTTTTTAAAATCTTTCCCCTCTCATCTTAAAACTATGCCCTTTAGTTTTGGACTCCCCCACCCTGGGGAAAGTAACCTTGGCTATTCACCCTACCCATGCCCCTCATGACTTTGTAAACCTCTATAACGTCACCCCTCAGCCTCAGACGCTCCAAGGGGGAAAAAAGCCACAGTCTATTCAGCCTCTCCCTATAACTCAAACCTTCCAGTCCCAGCAACAGCACCCTCTCAAGTTTAATAACATCCTTCCTATAGAAGAGTGACCAGAATTCTATGCAGTATTCTAAAAGGGGCCTCATCAATGGCCTGTACAGCTGCAACATGACATCCCCACTCCTATACTTAATCTTCTGACCAATGAAGGCAAGTGTGCCAAATGCCTTCTTCACCACCATCTACCTGCAACTCCTCTTTCAGGGAACTATGCACCTGCACCCTTAGGTTTCCTTGTCACCTCTTCAAAAAACTCAACCAACATGATTTCCCATGCACAAAGCCATGTTGACTATCTCTCACGAGTCCTTGCCTTTCAAAATGCATGTAAATCCCTCCAACAACTGATGTGAGGCTCACTGGTCCATAGTTCCCTGACTTTTCCTTACAGCCTTTCTTAAGTAACAGCACCGCATTATCCAACTCCCAGTCTTCAATAGCCATGGGTGAGGTGCCGGATGATACAAGTATCTCAGCAAGGGGCCCATCAATCTTTTCCCTAGTTTCCCACAAAGTTCTTGGAAACACCTAATTGGGTCCTGGGGATTTATCCGTGTTTATGTGTTTTAAGACCTCCAGCACCTCGTCTTCTGTGATATGAACTTTTTTCAAGACATCACTATTTATTTCCTAAAGTTCCCTAGTTTCTACATCCCTCACCACAGTAAATATTGATGCAAAATATTTGTTTAATATCTCACCCGACTCCTGTAGTTCCACACATTCTCTCCCTAGTTACTCCTTTGCCCCATTGTACTTACAGAATCTACTTCAATACTCCTTAAGCTCTATTTGCCAAAGTTATCTTTCGTCCCCTTTTTGTCATCCTGATTTCCCTCATAAGTATACTTCTATTGACATTATACTCCTCTAGGGATTCATTTGATCCCAGTTGCTTATACCTGACAAATGCCTCCTCCTTTTTCTTGACCAGAGCCAGAATTTCTCTAGTCGTCCAGCAATCCCTACATCTATCAGCCTCGCCCTTCACACTAACGGGAACATAACATCTCTGAACTCCCAGAATCTCATTTTAAAAGGCCAACCACTTCCCAACCATCCTTTACCTGTGAATATCCTCCCCCAATCAAATTCTAAAAATTCTTGCCTAATACTGTCAAAATTGGCCTTACTCCAATTTAGAACTTCAACTTTTTGAACAGTTCTATCCTTCTCCATACGGATTTTAAAACCAATATAATTATGATCACTTGCCCCAAAGTGCTCCCAAGTCAGAAAAAGATTCTTTACAAGATTAACTGTCCTACTGAAAATTTGTAACTATAATGGATGGTCTAAGTCTGAAGCTTAAAAATAATGCTCTTCATTGTGGTCACAGTACTTTTCACTACAACTGGACATCCCAAAAGTGCAGAGAAGTATTACTGAAGACTTAAATGTAGACCAAGATTTTGCAAAAATGGGGGTCAGGACCCAGGAGGAGTTGTGAGCTTGGAGACAGCAATGGATGCTTTGGAGCTCCAAGTGAGTCATAATATCTGCACTCACCCTCTTACAAGTAGTCACACCTAGTGCTCTCAGCGGTTTCACTGAAGGGTTGCCACAATTAACAAGCCTTGAAATACGGTCACAGTGGGAAACAGCTTGAGAAGCAGGGTCTATCTAATGTTGAGAAAAATGACAGGCAACTTGTGCTCCCAGAAACAGCAATGCACTAATGATCAAATGATCTGTTTTCGAGATTATAATTCAGCTATAAATATTGGCTAGGTCACTTGGGATAAACTCTTTTTTTTTTTTAAAAAGTGCAATGCGATCTTTTATCTCCACCTTGAATGGGGCCTCAGTTTAGTATTTTATCTGAAAGATGGCACCTCAAATAGCGCAGCACTCCCTCAGCAATGTGCTGTAATGCCACGCTTTATTTGTGTAGCATGGGATTGAATTCAAAACATTGAGACTCAGATGTTGGAGTGCTGCTTACTGGGCTATGGCTGACACAAAGGTCAGTAGTGAACCAGATCGATTGTGACAACAATCCAGTAGTTTCACAAGCAGCAGAACTGAGGGTGGCTTTTTATTCATTAATTAAATTTACGTCTCACCAGCTGCTATGGTGGATCTCAATTATCGTTTTTGAAATACTAATGGAGGCCTCTGGATTATTGGCCCAGCGACATTACCACTATGCTACTGTCCCTGACTATACAAGACAATTTTTCAATGATTTAAGTTTAGCTAAATTTAAAATGCCCAACTGATGATTCACTAGAATATAGAAAAATAATTTTACTGTCTTATTCTGTAATCAACTTCAGGAAGTTCGCAAAAGCAAGTTTGGATTGAACAATGGTTCACCATTCCCATGGGAAAGTTCGCTAGAAGTCTTGTTTTGTATCACTACCACCACCTCCACTGTAAGTCCCACCATTCTCAAAGATGCAGCTAAGAATGGATATTCACTGCGTCGAGAAAGCTTGGGTGTGAACACACGTCGCTAAGCTTCAGTTCATTCAAAACTCCCACTGTTCATAGTGCGCTAACATAATGAAGTGCTCTTGAAAAAGGATTAAATTGTCAGCTGTATTTGAACAGTTTTCAGGGCTTTATGGACCAACCACACACCTCACATTTAAAGAAAAGACAAGCACAAGCAAACTTGGATTTAAAAAAAATGGGAAAATTCCAGAGCCACCTCCCCTATCCAGTTTCCTGGTTGTGAGAATAAGTTTGTGCCACTGCCAGTAAAAGAAATCAAGCAAAAATGATGCAACTGGGCAATAAAACATCAGGGGCACCATGCAGAGCACATCCCAGCAATTTAATCATACAACATCTGATCATTAATGTCCAAAGTACTGGCCTAATGCCAGGCTTTCCCACATAGCCACAAAACTCCAAGAAGCTGGGAGAAGGAGAGCAGATTTTGTTTTTAAGAAGTGATGTTGCAATTCAGAAAAGCAGCCAAACAATTCCACATAACTCCTGCAGGCTTACTTGTCTGATGCCATTCTCAAAGGCCCGTATTGCAAGGGATGCTGGGCCATCCACAGTCTTTCCATCATCATCTGGTCCCCAGCTGGCACTGTAGATGTCAATGTGCTGAGGGCTCAAACTGAGAGACTTTGCTTCCACCATATCTGTCACATCACCATCCAGCATGCGAACACCTAATGGAATTTCAACAGGTTAAAGATGGCCTTAGCATAATCACGTGCATCTGCAGTTTCTCAACAAGTGATAGCAAGTAAAGAAAAAGCTTCCAAAGGAAGGAAAGTCTGAAAGGTATACTTTTGTTCAAATTATTCTGCAATTTAATCATGCAAAACTGTATGTATATAAAAAGAAAACTTTTATTCATCATTTTAAAAATAAATCAATCACTTCCCTGCCTCAAATACCCACCAAAGAAGGTTACCTCTTGCTTTCCATTAAGCTATTCAGTATTTTTTCCACTGTTAGATCAAAATTCCACCCCAAACCATTCTATGAAGTGTGAATGGAGTTCAATACTTCATCCAGGGTGAATATAGGGTGTGGAAGATTTAATATTTTAAATGCACATCCAAACAGACCTTACCCGGGAGAGCTCACTACTGGCCAGGTATTTTGCATTGCTTGCTTTTGCTGGCTGAGGACTTAAGGAACGTATGAGGGGAAAAAAAAGAAAAGAGAATTTCAGCTGAATTAAGGGAAATTTAGACCATGATCCTTGGGTTAAAGACAGTGATCTGAGACACAAAACTTCCAAAACAGTCATGACATAAATTGAACAAACAAGTTCAGTTAAATTAAGATGGATAGGATCTGAAGTCACATTTGACAAAGCTGGGAAACAAAATCTAATCTCTATCCAGAGACTATGGTCCTCAAACTAGTGGTAGTTAATGTTTGCAGTGTACAAACAAATTAGGTGAAACCGATTATTCCACAGATGAAACTAGAATGCTGACATGAATGAAGCCATTTTCAAAAATGAAATCAATGTTCCACGCTGCACTTCTTTGTCTTCTCAACAAGACACAGCCCAAAGCTTTATGGTAGGGTATCAATTGAGTTACTAAATAATATATTGAGGGTGTAAGTTTTTCAACAATAAAATTAGAGAGTGCGCTTCACTGGCCTACTATGGAGATCATTAAGGTCATTTGGCTGGACGGGATTGGGTTAGGGTTAGGGTTAGCAATAGCAATGGGGATTACAATGCAGAATGAGGCAAACTGTGCAGGTTCCATTCCATCCTGCTTCACTTCATCATGAAGGACCCACTTTCTGACCCTTGTCCCTTGCATGCGACATGGTGAATACCCAGTTAAACATGGGCATTTGCAGCAATCCTGGGAATTCACACATATATTTTTAAAAGGATGGGCCCACCAAAAAAGGACTATGGAATTGCCATGCCATCTGCCTGAGTTTCACATGACCAAAAGGAGAGATTGAACCACAATGTCCATTGATTCAGGATATTTCAGACCTTCCATTATGTTATGGTCTCCACTTCTAAATGAAACTGGGTGAATTGCAAAGGAGTTATATGTCAACACAGGCTGCAGGAATCAACATTAACACCACCCTTCATTTGGAAAGTGTTTTGAATATGTGAAAAATCACATGGTGAGACAGCCATGTTTTCTGTCTGTTTTTGATGATCAGATAAGAGCTGTTTTTTCAATAGTTTCACCCAAAGCAGAAGTGAAAGTTCAGCCAATCTGTGACCTTGACTCAGAAAAGCAGCCACAGCAAGTAACTGCGAGAATTGAAGGTCACCTGAAAATCAATCTCCTAGAAATTTGACTACAGGAAATATCAGCCTATCGAGAATCCTTTGCTTTACAGACACTCACTTGAACTTTCAGGCATCAAAACTATTTCAAAACAACTTCAGGCCAACCACATGGGACATATGTAAATCAAAGACAGAGAAAATTATAATCTGTAAAGGTACATTATCTTCACTCATGTGCAATCTGTGAGTGTGTGTGTCAAAACATGAGAGATCAAGTGTGAAATGTCACACTTAAATTGAGGAGAATAAGTGAGCTCTATTTTAAACTTATAAAAAGACATGGACGAATTATTTAATTGGATCCATACCCTGAGAGAAAATAAGCACCTCTTCCATATAAAACATTGTCCACAGGCAGTTGAGAGTACAAGCATTTTGTCTGTGGACATCTGTATAAACAATAGTTTTATAATGAAAAATCTATTTAATTTTAGTTTTCTGGATGGGGAACCTGTTGCTGGTGGTGAGCACCAGATCGAGTCTTGGGTAAGGGAGTAACAATTCATTACTGACTCGCAGCTAAGTGAGCAAAGCTCAGACTTAACAGCATTTGGCTGAATGAATGGACATAGCATTCAAACATGGGTGCAAAGATTCAGTGTAGGAGAGGAGATATTGCACAGGTTTTATGTTCCACAATTAGCAGCTCTCGTGGCGCAAATCGGTCAGTGTCTGGTACTTATATGACAGTAGAGAGGGGTGTGTAATGCCAAGGTTGGGAGTTCGAGCCTCATCTGGAGCAGTTTAATAGGGTGGCATGATGGCTCAGTGGTTAGCACTGCAGCCTTACAGCACCAGGGACCTGGGTTCAATTCCACCCTCAGGGGATTGTCTGTGTGGAGTTTGCACATTCTCCCCATGTCTGTGTGGGTTTCCTTCTGGTGCTCCGGTTTCCTCCCACAGTCCAAAGATGTGCAGGCTAGGTGGATTGGCCATGCTAAATTTCCTGTAGTGTTCAGGGATGTGTAGATTAGGTGGGAGAGAGGGGGATGGGTCTGGGTGGGATGCTCCAAAGGTCAGTGTGGACTTGTTGGGCTGAAGGGCCTGTTTCCACACTGAAGGGATTCTATAAATAAAAAAACATTGTCTGGTTATTTCTAGCAGACACCGCAAAACCCCCATGTACCTGGGAGTTCAAAAATATTGAAGGAAATTCTATTTTGATTAGGGTCAGCATAAAAAGAAATCAAATCTCAAGGAACCTCCTTTTCTAATCTTCTCCCACTCTAGAAATGATGAAGGATTGCCTGAGTTTAGAGACTGATTGCTTTCAATTCTTCTTGAAAGCAATGAGAAAGATTTCTAGAATGTGAAGTTAATGCAAATATACAGCATATGGAAGGAGGACCATCTCATGAAGGGTCATTGCCTCACCTATAAATTTTATCAGGTGCCCAAAAAGTATTCATAGTTTTGTCTGAACACTTCACACAAAAGCAGCTGCTGGAAGAGTAATAAACAACCTTACCTAAAACCTATAGCATTAACAATAGATTTGGTCTTGGATCAGGATGGTTACCATTGTATTGCAGCACACACATGCCTTCAAGTTTAGTTCAACTAGATTTATACTTTGTTCACAGGCCAACAGCTCTTAAATCACCTCTTTCCATTTTGATTTTCCGATTCAAATTTCTTTTCCTTTTCTTAAAAGTTCTGAATCTTGGAACATTGGTTCCTAAGGCACTGGTAGTCATCCAGAATCCCCATCGAGTGATACCAACGAGTGTTGGCCAATCTACTTAGCCACAGGATAGGGTAAGAGGCAACGAGAAAGGCACCATAGCAGTGCTCAATCCTAATGCATGCTCTGTCTAATAAAGCTTTATCTTGGCTGATTTTTAATTTCCTTAAGCTAATTGTAACATTTAGTCCCGACTTTGGGTAGCGACCACATTGCAGAGGAAGAATTCAACAGCAGCAAAATTCCTGATAAGTTAGGGAGTGAAAGATTATCAGGATCGGTGGGAATGTGGTGCCATTAGATTAACCAGGATCTTATCGAATTGCGTAGCAGGCTGAATGGGCCTTGAGTGACCCACTCCTGTTCCAAACTTGTGTATTTGTACGGTCATAAGACATTGAACAGGACAGTTAACATAGCTTTGTATCATAAATTCACATTTATCCCATTAAATTAAAAACGCATCCGCTAACTCAAATCATACCTTTTTTTACCTCTTGCATCAAAGTGAAATTTAAGCTGGAGAAGTGTGAGCTATTTCCCTCAGTGTCTGAATGCTCACAGAAAGTTTACTGCTGAATCACATGATAATATTCAGGGACCTAGTGATCTAAATCAGCCAGTTAAGCCTTTTTGTGCTTCCCTGGATGCGGGATAAAATTGCTACTGATTCCATGTTAATGATACAAAGTCTTTTAAAAAAAAATGTTTTGAATTGAATTGAAACTCCCATGTCTTAAGTGCAGAATAACAATTCCAAACTAACCAAAGAAAGAACAAATTCCAATCTGATTTTCTACCTACCCGTAATGCAGCTCCACCTTGCGTGCCCCATAATGAATAAGATAGTTATACTACTAGACAGTTTATATTCAGGCTGTTCCAAAAGTCTACTGTCAAGCTTAGCTTGGAAAAAAAAACAGAGAAAGAATGGGCCCAGATGTTAACCTAAAATTACAACTGCACAGCCCTTATTATTTAGTTACTAACATCAACCACAGTTATTTGAAATCAGCTGTAGATAAGGAATGCACCGGTATAGAATTCAGAAAAAAATTTCCTGAGGCTTCCAACACCAGTTTGTCATCTTTTCTGCATATTTGGAGCTGGAATGGACTATGCACCTGCAGTTGAGTAACACTGAAGATTTGTTTAATGACAAAGCACAAAAACAGTTCTGGCAATATCACTGTACACTTGACATCTGTGGATACTGTTCCTAATCCTGCCAACCTGGCATGCACGATGCAGAACGTATCAGGAGCCTTTTAGTTTAAAACAAAAAATTGCAGGCCACAATTTTGAAAGAGAGATCAGCTGCTGAGACAACAAAGTCTGAGCTCTTACAGCTTTCACATCCTAGTAATTAGGCAGGTGGTCTGCATCATAGTTTTTCTGCATAACAGACAGCACTCAGGCTGAAAGAACATGAACATTTGGTTGCAAATTGGATACCAGATAACTAGCTGTCCTGAAGCTGGGTGCTTTATGTAAAGGGGACAAAGTGGTACTGACCCAATCTGGAATATTACATTCAGTTTGGGCATGACATTATCGAGAGGGGCATACCCATTTTTCTAATCAACCTGTTCAGAGATGTCATTACACACCCCTGGAGCAGGCAGTACTTGAACCCGGGCCTCCCAGTCCAGAGGTGGGAAACTACCACTGTGCCTTGACAGGACCTAAAAGAAATT